GTCAAAGAGTATACAATATTTTGATTAGCGCGCGTAGCAACTCGATCCTCCTTAATGCAAAAGTCCGACGAACTTAGATAACGTCATTCTCTTTTTCCTATATCTATATATTATATATATTTTTATATACATGACTCGTGTGTCACATAATTGAACGAAACTTTACGACGCGTAGGCACAGCAAAAGAAATCTTGGGAAACATTAAGATCTTTTCTTTTTTCATTTTTTATTCTATTCTTATTTTTGTTCTTTTCTTCGTTTCTCGTCTCTCGAAGCAAAAGTTCACTGGCATGAAGACAGAGAGAAAGACAGAGAGAGAGATAGTAAGAGATAGAAATACAAACGAATAAAGATACGCGTTCGTTCCCATTTCATGTTACATTTGAAACGAGCGAGCCCACACAGAAGAGAAAGATTTCATCCGCTTCCGTTTTATGTTTCTTACGTCCACCCGACGTATAATAATAATCGACGAACGCGTTCGTTAAATACCGTAGAATTTTCAACGATTTTGTAAGGCATCTCTAAGCTAACGAGTTTCCATTTCTTCTTCATAGTACTATAATACACTTTATCCCATCGAAACACACTAACGAACATGATCACCGTTTTCATTTTGTCTATGACAAAATAGAGGATAGATAAGAGGAACGCTTTTATAGGAGGAAACGGAAGATGAGAAAGATGACTTCAAATGGGCGTAAAAACTCGATTGAAGTTCACTAATGTTAATGATACTCGTAAAATGAGTTAGAAAAAAAAAAAAATAAATAAATAAAAAAAAGAGAAAAAGAAAATATAGTTTAGAATGTAGTCGATCCGAATTCGTTGTTGTTGCACGTATTAACCATTGTATTGATTATAAATAATAATAGAGAGAGAGAAAAAAATAACGAAAGAAATGATGCACGCGTATATATTTCAATTTCTCTTTTGCACGCGAATAATCCTAGGGGAACAGGTCGAGAGCAGGACATTGGGTCGAACGGACGTTCAAGGGCGAACGGATAGCGGTCGGTCGTAAATCCAAAGCTCTTTCCTTTTCGTACCACCTAGCTCGAGTCATTGCAACGATCGTTTTCCGGCGAAATTCCATGGCTCGAGATAGCAATTGAACCCAATGGGACATCCAGAAACCGTTACTCCGAGAACCGTCGTGGTGACGCGATGGCGTAGGCACCTACGTGTTCCGTTCGCCCTACCTCTTTCTCTTTCTCTTTCTCTTTCTCTTACTCTTTCCTTCATTCTTCCTCTCTTTCTCTCTCTCGTTCCTTTTCACACTCCATCTCCCACTCTCGCTTCCCGACCTTTTTCTTATGCTTCCTCCTCCCCCTCCATTTCTTCTTCTTCTTCTTCTTCTTCATTCTTCTTCCTTGTTTATTCAACGAGTTCGTATCTCTATCTCTCTCTCTCTCTCTCTCTCTCTCAAGAATATAGGCAGCAGCGGCGGCGGCGGCAACTACGGCAGCCGCACATGGTTCGAACACAAGACCATAACCAAAGACACACTGATACCTCTTCTTCTTTTAATGCCGGGTCGCAATGTTCACACGTGCATCCGACATTCTGCTCTCTTTGCCTTCTTTCCCATTTCCCTCGGTTTTCCTCGAAGCTTCAGCCGGCTTCCTTCATTTCCTCCCTTTTAAACTTTACCTCTACGAACCAGTTAGACGAAGAAGAAAAGTTGAAGTTGTAATTATCGACACTACGGTAGAGATCATTAACGTCTAGATACGCCGCGGCGTATAGCTATTCTCCATATTATATTGTGGGCAAGAACTAGATTGAGAATATAATTATTATAATAATAGTAGTTTATAGGATTCTTCGTTTTTTCTTCTTCTTCTTCTTCTGTTTAATTTTTTTGTTCATTTTCCGTATTCATTTTCGCGCGAGACAATTGCAAATAAATTTTGTCTTATAAATCGTTTTGAGTTTCAAGCACCGAGCGAGCATTATCGTTAGCAACTACTACACGGAGAAGGAATTGCTTTTACCCAAATCATTCTCTTTTACTCTATTTCTCTCGTTGAAGTGCGAAGAGTATGTCGAGCTATTTCGCGCCCCTTCACAGGATTAAGCGTATTCCAAAGTCCTTAACGAGCTAACGTTCCGAGGGCACCCACGAAATAAATTAATTTTGCAGCCGATTCGGTGCAACGGTGTTCTCCAAAACGAACGGTCGAACTTCCGCCACATTGTGGTCGAGTTAGGAAAGAGGAAAAGAGAAAGAAAGAGAGAGAGAGAGAGAGAGAAACAGAGAAAGCAGCGCTTAGCTCGTAGCGCTTAGAGGAATGCACCGAATTATGCAGTACCTATGACTACGATATGCGATGGTCTCAGACGGAATATGAAAAATTGCCAGACGTTGAAGTCATTTGTTATTCCGTACAAAGCCGATTGCCAGTGATTATTAATTACGATTGTAAAGGGCCCTTTTGACCGAGCGAATATCCATGTCGTTTTGCTTCCACGTACAATAAAGCTCTTGCGATAATAATCATTATTATTATTATTATTATTATTATTATTATTATTATTATTACTCTCGCCGCTAGAACGCTTCGGAGAGGTATATAACTTCTTTAATGATGTTTCTTCTTTGTACAACTAGGTACGTTTAATTTGTAGTACGCGTAAAAAAGATCATTAGCGGTATAATTATTGTTATTATTAATAATGCCCCGACCGGTAGTACAATTATTATCACGCGTCTATCCGAATCAAATGCGTGTGGTCAAACTGTGGTGTCTCAGGAAAATCGATGAGCGGTCAAAGTCGCACAGTTAAATAACTATCCTCGTGCATTGCCGAGGTCAAATCTATGAGAAAAGCATTAGAGTTCAGAGAACTCGAAACGCCCACGCATAAAATCGACACGAATATCTTTGCGGTGATCGCGGTGTTACAACAATGCGACAACGGTCAACGAAAATACCGTTCCTCGAATACACCTTCGATCCACGTAAGCGATAGCAAAAAGGCATCGAGCTAAAAGTTTTAAGGAACGAGAAAAAGAGAGACGGAGAAAATGAGGAAGAATAAAAGTGATAAGAGAAAAAATAAAGAAATAAATAAAAGAAAAAAAGCTTGCTGAGCAAAGTGATGAAAGAAACAACAAAAAATATGTAAGAGAAAAAGAGGTTTCGAGGTTGAGAGAGAGAGAGAGAGAGAGAAAGAGAGAGAGGTAGAGCCTTCTCATTAATGTTCCCGTTAGATAAAATTTAGTCCGATGATCGTGCCAAAGTGAGAGAAAAGGAAGGAGGAATTCGACAATGAACGACGAGACACGCGTGTTTCGTGATCGACGAACGAACGAACGAACGTACGAGAGAAAGGGAAAAAAAAGAAGAAAAAAAGAACACAATGTTTTGAATGGTGTCGCGATCGAATTGTGCGTACCGTTCTGTCCTCCTTCGGTAGTGGCGGCTGGAATACTCGGGGCCCCTTCCGATACCCTCCCAAGAGCCTCGTCCGGACCCCCTCCGGGCCCCATCGGATCCCTCCGGAGGCCCCAATCCCCCTTCCCCCGTGACCGCGCGCGCGCGCAAGACTCGGCAGACGTCTTCGGTCCGCTCGAGGAGGAAGAGGAGCCCGAGCGAACACGGCCAGGTGTATCCGACACGCAGTGTGCCTAAGAGCCGCCAGCCGGTAGACATCGTTATATCCTCTCGCTCGCTTCTTGCTAGCTGCTAGTAGTAGTAATAGCTCGTTCCTTCCTAACTCATTCGTAGTTAGGCTTCTTGTAAACCGGCAAAGAAGCCGCGACATCTCGCGGGGAAACACAACTTATATATATATATATATATATAAATATATATATATATATTTCAATTGCAAATCGTCGGGGCCCTGCGAGTCACCCGATTTCGAAGTGGTTGCTGCACACGCGTGCGTGATAAGCAAATATTTATCCCGCGTTCCGTTCCTGGCTGCTGGTGGTTGCTGCCAACTACGGTAGTCCTATTTCAGAATAAAATCTTCACTATTTTTCTATATCTCCTTTTTTTTTATTTTTTTTTGTTCATTTTTCTTTTACTTAACATTGTTCGTGTTGCTGTTGTTCTATTACTACTATTACTATTTCTGTCGTTACTATCGCGCTTGAACTTTTGCAGTGTGCAAGTTTTACCGTTTCTCTATTGTGTGTAATCGCGCGAACGCCTGCGCGCACGTTCTCCTTCCAACGTGTCCCTACGACCTCCTCTTCCTCTTCTTCTTCCACATCTTCTTCTTCTTCGTCTTCTTCTTATTCTTATTCTTCTTCTTCTCGTGAGAAAACACTTCGTCGTGGAATTTAGTTTCCGCCTGTGAGACACGCCGATCGCGATCGCAACGAGCCACCACGAAGTGTAGAAATATATACCTAAACACGCATACTTTAATACAATAAGTTTAGAGAATTTCGTGCGCTCCTTTCGGTAGGAAAAGGGAACGATCCACGTAGGTAAGATTTTTCCCTTTTCCTTCCAATCTTCATTCCTTTTTCTTACGTTTGTCGTATAATATATAAAACGCGAATATATGAAGAATAATAATAATAATAAAATAAAATTTTGCAAACGTTGGGGACGAGTGGTACGTCGATCGTTTTTAACTGACGAAAATGAAGTCGGTATATTTCTCGAAAGGCGTTCCCTTTGATTGGAATGAGGTCGACGACGTTCACGCGATCGTCCTTAGCACGCACTCTCGGTGTACGCGCCGATGGCGGATGGACGTCGATTACGGGGCATAAACTCGCGGATCGAGTTCTCTCTCGACATGTTTTTCTGCGTCCTCTTCTTCTCGTTCAACTCGATTCGCGCGAGCGACTACGACCTGCTTTAATTTTACGGAAAGACATGTTCTTTTTTCTCTCTTTCTATCTATCCATCTATCTATCTATCCATCTAACCATCTATCTTATCTTCCGCATATACATTTATAAAGTAAACCAAACGTCGGATTAATCCAATTGTTTTTTCTATCTTTTTTTTGTTTGTCTTCTTTCTTACAGATTACTTAATCGAGAGGATAGAAGAACATTTCTGAGGATAAGATTAATCAAATATCAATCAGGATGACTAATAGAAGACAGTGCATTAATCGACAAGTGCTCGGTTTATTACTCGTTCTACAAGCGAGCATTCGGTTCGGGCATGTGGTACACGTGGCCGAGGCAGTGGAAACCGCTCACCCAGCTGATCCACCGCCCCCGGCATCGGTACCCACTAGCGTATCAGGCCCGGATTATACCGGACCGTCAGCCGGTGCGGACGAATGCGATCCAGAGATGGTCGGGTTTGAGTTGGTCACCGGCTACGTATACACCGCGCCCACGAACATGCTCGAGTCCATACCGGGAACGTTGATGCTCACCGACTGTCTCGAAACCTGTCAAGCGAACGATTCTTGCCAGGCGGTCAACTACGAGACCGGTCTTTGCGTCCTATTCAGCTCTAACGCCGACAGCAATCCAGGTAAGATTGAATCGTTATCGACCGGGAAACGCCGTTCGTCGGCGAACGAACCATGGGGACGGCCCCGTAACGGGTTAAAGGGACGTAGGAGGAGTCGTGGTAGGATAGAAGGGACAGGAGGGAAATTCTCTGGGTAACTAAAGAAACATCAACGATTCCAAAGACGACTACTACTACTATTCGATTCTATTTCTCTTCCGCTATGAACTACTCTAGTAGTAGTAGTAGTAGTAGTAGTCCTCTTTTTAACTTTACGTTACGACGAGAACGACGACGATATCTAGTTGTATATATGTATATATGCATCGCTACGAATATTCTACGAGCTTGTTTAAGTATTCCTACGTGGAATTGGAGAACGGATAAACCGTATTTCGGGATGTATAAGGTCATTTTACTTCGTAACGTTTAATGATTACTCGGTAAACGTAACTCTAAAAAAAAAAAAAAGAAAGAAATTCTCGAATGTTATTACGATTATCTAGAACGATAATTTAAGTTGAAAGGATCGTAAGGAAGTATATCTAACGTAGTTTCATAGTTATCCGATAATATTCAATTACTCTTTTCATTGAGAAATATCGTTCTGACCTCCTTTTTAATAAGTAAACGCAATTAAAATCTCTCTTTATGAAATATATATTTACATCGATAATTAATGATAAGAATTCAATTTTTTGTTTTTGGTTTTTATACGATAAAAAAAGATTATCGTTCTACTTGTAGAAATCGGGAAGTAAATAAGTAAAGTGTGTGGACGGTTGCGCGTAGGCGGTGAGAACGTTTTTAAACGGCTTTCATGACTCTTCTTCTTTTTTTTTTCCTTCTTTTTCTTTCTTTCTTTCTTTTTTTCCATTGAATGAGAATCAAGACGCTTAGCAATGCAAACGCAACGCGGAGACAGCGGTTCATGGTTCTAAGTGGAAAGAGACCGACGCGTGTCAGACATAGTCGCGCGTTCCGAGATACGCGAGAAGAATAATAACGACCGTCTTACGATCTTTTACAGCGAGCGTTAGCTTATGTAAATAAGTCCGAGCTCTTACGAAAAATATCCTCTCGTCGTCACTTTATCGTTACCATCGAATTCGATTTATGCTTTCACGGTCGATGAATTCTACTTCTTAAAATACACTATCAATCTCCGTTAATCTCTATTCATTAGCTCATTATTATTCCATTATTATACGTTAATAATAATAATACGTTTAAGAATATGATTACATCATATATATTTGTTTTTTTTTTTTTTTCATAATTTATCGCTGTCAAAGAATTCGATTCGCTAATCTTCATGAATATATGATCGATCGATTATTATTCTTAAGATTAAAAAAGAGATATAAAGAATAATAAAATAACGATTATAATTAATTGATGAATATTTCGTTTCAATGATATCGAATAATTATTATCGTTTATTCTAAGAACAAACACATTTTACATTTTATTAATGAAAACTTTATATCTGATCGATAACGAAATCTAACGAGTTTTTCTTTTTTATCTTTTTTTCTTTCTATTTGTTACTTTATCTTTTTGATATCGAGAACCTTTTTCTCATCGTCGAAATGTTCGAATCTTTTTCAATGGAAAGTAAGAAAGAGGAGGAGGAGTAGTACTCGTTTATACGTACTTAATTTTTCGAGCAAACGTTTCTATCGATTTTATTACTTTCCAGGGAGAGAACGTTTACGTTACGATCCCTTTTTTTCGAGAGAATAAAATTATAATCGAAGGAGCGATCCTTTTTTATTTTTTTTTTTTTTTTTACAACAAACTAGCATGGATCTTGAATAAAATGTGATCGGAATTAGATTAAGAGTCTAAAGGGGATCGATGCAAATCTTTTTAACGCGACACTGATTCCAAGTTAATTCTTTTTATCCAATGAATATCGATCAGAAACAGCTCGGAATCCTGGTAATCGCTAATGCACTTCTCATCAGCAATATCCCCTTCGAATCGTTTTTATAATTCTTCCCTTCATTCCATTACGAATCCCTTTTGCTTATGATAGCATATCTTTAATTTTTAATCATCGCTATCATTTATTTAGGATAAGACTTTGCGTAAAGTTTACAGAAAAAAGATTAAATCTCGATAATATCCATTAAAATCAGGTAGAGTAGAGTGGTAACGCAGATTTCCCGTTTCCGAGATTATACTACGGCATTCGTTAAAACGAAAGAGTAAAACGTTAATGCGCCTCGATGGTAGCAATAAATGTAGTGGTTTCGTGCACTCGACAATTCGTTAGCGTTAACGTTCCTGTTATCGACAACACGAATAATGCCCATCGCAGTGTGCTCAAAATAAAAGAATTTGGTGAAGAGTAGTGAGTGAATATTCGCCGCCGCGTATCGTTTTGGTGAAACAACATTTGTGTTCTAGTTAAATGAATAAAAAAAAAAAAGAAGGGGAAGAAAAAAAAACAATTTAAGCTAACGCGTAAGGAACAAAAACATTTGTAAAAATCGATGGCTTTCGTCGGGTTTAATAAAGAGATTGTTAAACGAATCTATGGTGTGAGACGATGGGAAGGGGGGGGGGGGGAGAGTAGAGAGAAGATTTTAGGTGCATGACCCCGACCGATTGCATTTGCAATTTTTGTTATCAAACTTTTCTCCTTCGTATTTCTTTTGAAAACGTATTAAAAGTACAATCTGCATTGTCAGCTGCCAGCAACCACAGGTACTGGTTCCTCATGAATAATGAATACCGGTATAAGTGTAATAAGAGGCGTACTAATTGAATCTTCCGGGGTGTAATTAATATAAACTACGCCGGCCGTAGAGAAGCGCGCGGACTGTGAGCATTAATTAAACAACGAATGAGTTGCTACGTCTTCGTAAGAGAACGGTATTGTTTCATAGGAATCTTTGAAGCTGCCCGTTAGAGCCTTTTCAGACCATTATAATGGGTTATTGCGCAAATTAGCTTGGAAAATGAATCATTACCTTATAAGGTACAAGATCCTAGCAAGACGAAGATCAAAGACCGTCGTATTGGACTTTGAAGAAAGACGGTAGGATAGAATAATAGAATGAGGATTATTGCACGATAGATTTGAAAAAGTTACGAACACGAATTCTTATCGTCGAAGGTGTGTACCAACACGTTCCACGGGTTCATACTTTCTTGCCAGAGTTTCCCATTAATCCTATTTATTTTTATTGTTTTCTTTTTTTTTTTTTTCTTTTTTGGAAATTCTTTTATCGAAGCCTTCCGTCGACGTTTATGATACGCGTATTGCTTTCTTAAACCTCCCTTTTGCCAACGAACAGTAGGAATTTTTTCGTATCGCCGAACGACAAAACAAGAATGCCGCAAGAACGTTCGAAATAATCGACGAGCCGTGGCATTCGTTTCATGTCGCGGCTTCTTCTTCTTCTTACGTTCGCAGCAATCCGTAGTAGTAGGATACCACCATAGGCGGAACGAATCCCATCAGAGGACCCCATTCTTCATCCCAATTTCAACGTCGCCGCGATACTACGACACCATATTATATAAGTCGTGATCCGTTGTTCGTATTACTATGGGGAAAAAAAAAAGAAAAAAAAAAAAACTCGATATTTCCAAAGTTATCTTTCCCGTTCTATCGATCTTTCTTCTCTCATAACGGCTTCCTACTTTAATTTCTTCATACTATCTTCCTCGATCGTGCAGACGGATTCTCTCTCTCTCTCTCTCTTAGAGGTACTTTTAACGATTCTCTAAAAGGATAACTATCCTACTGTATCGTACGTTCGATGAATCGTGTAATTAAAATCGTGTAATATATCTCGGTTGCGGTAATTAAATCACTTAAGACGAGACTTCCAACAGCGAGACTACCAACGTTCCATTTTACTCGGCGAAACAATTAGCTCGGAGACTCGGTTTCGATATTCAAGTAACGCCGATCGCGTGTAAGATCGTGTTTGCCCGTTAACGTGGCATAAAGGCACGATATACAGCGTAGGAAGAGGAAGAAAGAAATAAGCGCGATATAAAGAGTGAGAAGATTGGTTGGTTGGTTGGTTGGTAGGCTGGTAGGTAAGTAAGTAGGTAGTAGTAGTAGTAGTAGTAGGTAGATAGGAAGGAAAGGAAAAAAGAAAGAAAGAAAGAAAGAAGAAAAGGGAAGAGAATGATGCAAAAGGGATTGTACTTAGGGTTAACTTTTCTCAAGGATAGAGCGTGACTCGTAGCATCCGACCTACGGCCACGGGTGTGCGTGACAGCTTGACGTCTACAAAGTATCCTACCTCTTTTTCTACCTTTTACTTTTCTCCTCCCATCCATTTACCCCCATCCCCCCAACCTCGCACTCTTCGGATAAGGTACGATGAAAAGCGGACGATTTTAAGTTTAATTACGTTGGCTCGAAGAAACGGAAGACATAGTCCGCGTTTCCGTAGAAAAGAAGTTTACCGTCTATAGCGGAAACGGAAGACGACTACGACTACGACGACGAAGAATAAGAGGGTAAAAGCAAAAGATTAGATAGATAGAAAGAAAGGATAAAAAAAAAAGAAAATTAACAAAAAATAGAGATATAAAGAAACAGAAAAGAAAAAGATAACTGGGAAGAAGAAGAAAAAAAAACGATTGAAGATCGGAGAGAATCGTGGCCGGTGTCCAGCGAGAACGAGACAAATCCGGTCACGCTTTGATGTCGTTCTGACAGGAGTTTCCTACACAACATCGATTCATGAATGGTTCTCTCTCTCTCTCTCTCCCTCTCTTTCTCTCTCTTTCCTTTACTCGAGTCGTCGACACTGCCAAGATCACCGCTTCTTTATCCCAAAAAAAGGTTTTACCGCAAATCGAATTTTTTTTTCTTTAATAGCGAAACGAATAGAAATCCGCTCGCCATGTTGTTGTTGCATCTTCACCGATGTACGTACGTGCCGCGTTCTTTGACGTGCGACGACAATAACAACAACGGATGGATGAACGACGACGACGACGACGACGACGACGACGACGATGAGGAGGAAGATGAACAGGTACGA